ACACGACTCTTAGAGCAGCAAGGGGGGTTCAGGGTCACAGGCCTATACCCCCCGACCCCTTAAAAAAAAAAAAAAGACGTTCGCGCCTACATGAACACGTTCGGGCGAACGTGTTCACGTTCTCCCACAAACGCGAACAGCGTGCAACGCAGATTATTATTATTATTGTTATTGTTATTATTATTATTATTATTATTATTATTATTATTATTATTATTATTATTATTATTATTATTATTATTATTATTATCATCAGGGTTGCCGGCGTTGGGGACAGGTCGAATGGCTGAACCCGAACGCCCAAATGTACGGGACCCCTTCGGAAGGCATTCGGTCGTTCGGGCCAAACGCGGACCACAAAAAAAAAAAAAAAAAAAAAAAGTTTTCAAAAAATTATGACAAAACAAAATGTTATGGAGAAAAATAAACTAAACAATATTTGCCTGGGCACTACATCCAAATTCTTTACCAAATTTGAATTAAAAATCAAATACAGAAAATAAACACTATCATAAAAATAAAAAAAAATAAAAAGAGAATTAAAATGAGTGAGTGTGCCAGCACCTTTTCGATAGGGGCCTTTTCGGAGATGTGCTCTAACTGTTGCATAGGTGCGTCTTTCGATAATGCGTGTTTTTCGATGCTTTGGTGGACCCATCGATGGTTAGCCTTTTGATAGGCCTAGATCAGAGATGTTGACTTTTATGTTTTTCGAAGTGTGTAATGGCCAAGCGTAGGTATCTGGTCGGTAAGGTGGACCGGGTAACTATTTTTCGGTTTTTTTCGGCTTTTCGTTTTTTTTAGGTGCACTCAATAAGGCCAACAGAAATGGACAGAGTAGGGTTCGGGTCATCATTGGTTTGGGATATAAGGAATCGCTGTGTTCTACGATACCTTTTCGAGTCTGACGTCGACGCGACCCAGTTATAATGGCTGGAGGCGCGAAGACGACGGCAGGTTAGCGGATGGTCGGAGTAGTTTTGGGAAGAAGAAGGTTGTTCCCCCTGAGGAGACCGTGTGGCGGTGGTCGAAACCGGTCGAGGTGTCATACCCACCGGGAACACAGTTTAGTGCATGAAGCATCCATAATGCTAATTGTACTCGAGTTTTTTGCAATGGACTTGTGTATTCTGTGTACTGTGTATACTGTGTATACTATGTAATCTCTCCAAATCACAATCATTTGTAAAGCGCATGTGAACCTGCCTGGAGACGTGCTGCTGGACGTTGTGTGAACATGTGAGAGACTGTTTTGTCTGACAGAGTTTGACTGTGAAGAGTAATGGGCAAGCGGGGATTTCGAATCGTTGGTGTTGAAGGAGTGGAAAGCAAGGGCGAGATCAACGGAGATGGGTGACCGGGGCTATCGAACATATGGCGGTGAGGCCAGAGGCGATCAATATGCTAGAGGACGAGATCATAAGCGAGATGAATCGAGAGATCGACAGCGAGGCAGGAGTCGAGACGATTACCATGAAGGCAGCGACAGAGGTCATGGAGGAAGCGAGTATGTAAGAAGGGGACCACCAGTTTGTTTCGAATGTGGTGAGGCAGGGTATTACAAGAACCAATGCTGGAAACGGAGTGAAGTAGTACCAGCTAAAGGTGGAGCGAGTAGTTCGGGTGTGCAGTTGCCGGAACCCCACGTCGTCGAGACCGTGAAAAAACGGCTTGAAGATTTCAACAAATCCATGGCAAATTTCCAAGAATACATCGCTATCGAAAATACCAAGAGGGAGGCCAAGGAATGCAGGAATCGGGAGAAGGCAGAACGACTGCAACGAGAGGAAGCGGAGCGACAAGCTAAAGAGGAAGCACGCATGGCTAAAGAAAAACGGATGGCGAAGAAGTTTGCCAAGAAGAAGAAAGAGGAGGAAGAGGAGTTGGAATTCAGCAAAGCGATGTGGCTGCACATGGCAGTTTGTGTAGGAGGACTAAAGGAAAAGATGCAATACGAGATGAAGAAGAACATGGAAGCTTTCCAAGCCATCATCAAAGGGAAGCAGCAAGCAACATCGCCGTCCCCGTCGCCGTCGATATCGCCGCAATCATATGCAAGCGATTGGGCAGCAAGCGAGGTGGAAAAGATCAATCAGAAAGCTAAGGAGCTTACCATCAACGAGAAACGAAAATGGAGTCCAGACAAAACCATTGGCAACAGTCCGCCTATGGAATTACCACCGAAGCGGACACCGAGAAAAACGATAGTCAAACCGGTCAAATTAACGGCGATACTACAAGCCGCAACAACCAAGAAGACCGCTGCAAAGAAGAACAAGCAAGCTGAAGAAAACCATGGATCCCCGAAGCGCTACCACTGAAGAAAGGGACACCTAAAACGAAGATTGCTGCCAGGATTGGATCAGTCGGGAAGACGCAGTTCGTCGTCGATAACAGAGGCAACTGGCAGATTTCCACGCCGACGATCTTAAACGGCTATGTCGACGGGAAGAACTGGAATAAGGTAACAAAGTGCTGGTGGTTATCAATGTTGCCGAAAAACGCGTTGTCGAAGCTTACGGAGGAGAAGACCCGGAAGCAGTTGCTGTTGAAGAAGGTGATGCCGACAACCCGGAGACATCGGACACGTCAAGCGAAGGGGACGAGGAAAATTGTCTCCTGGAGGACGAGCACGTGCTATGGGGACTGTGCCAAGGGCTCATCAAGCTGCAAAAGCAGTTTGCATTCGATAAGGCTGTCGAGAAGCTATATCGAGTAGTCGTTGTGCTCTTAGGTACTACATGAAGAGTTAAGTGGCTTATGAAGTATACAGCGTCATGGATACGTCTGTATAAGAAGTACGACATAAATTTTCAGGATAAGCACTGAGGCATCTACACGATCGTATCGCCACAATGTAAAGCATCATACATCGGACAGACGAGTCGTGATGTGAACGTGAGGTGGAAAAAGCATGTGGTTGTATGTACCAAGAACTAAAAAAACACACATCTGTACTGATGGTGGAGGGTATTTAGAATGGAGTCGTATGCTATCTTGCCTGTTGACAGCTTGTTGGAACTCGAGAAACTGTAGATACGGAAGTGGTCGCCGACGTTAAATGTGAGTGGCACGGCAAAGAAATCGAAACGGAAGAAGCGGCAGAGATTGGGGAAATCGGAGCGCAAGCGTTCAGGAAGCAAGCAGATGTCAAACGAAGGAGGGCGAGCTGTTGATGTCGTTAAAGTGAAACGCGGTGAAGTTGAAGAATGGCAGAGCAGTGTGTACAAGGTATTGGGAGAAGCGGAACGTACATGTGAAAGGGAGTTCCAACTATTTTCGAAAGGCGACAACAGTTGGATGGACGGATGACGAAAGGTGAGAAAAACTTTCAGCGCAACGACGGTGAAGATCGACGGGCAGCTGGTTAACCTAACTAAGTGTAGGAGCTTTTTCAAGCGTGGGGACGCAGTTCACGTTAAGTACCTCAGGAAGTGAAGCCCGAGGAGCGGACCAGATGAGAAGACGCTGGTAGCCCTATTACGTAATCCTAAGAAGATACAGCAAGTGAAGAGCGCGGAGGTAGACACGATGTTCAGACTCTACAAAGCGGCCAAAGAGTTTCAACAGAACTCGACACGGACCTATTTGAGAAGAATTATTGGGAGGACGATCAAGGAGAAGACAGTTTGGGTTATGGGGGCAGATCTCACCATCAAGGTGAAGTACGATGATCGTGTGAAATTGGCAGAGGTCAGGAAACTTGAAAATGACAAGATCGAGGAACTCGCTTTGCCCAAATGTATGGCGAAGCACTCACGAAGTAAAGTACGCACGGTTTGGGCTAAAAACCAGTCCGTGGCGGAAATTTTGCATAACCAGCGGGTGTACGCCCGCGCGGCTGTGTCCACCTGCACATGTGTAGGTCTCCCTTATCCCAGGATCGGGGAACACGTGAGCTTTCGTCTTCAGGAGGCACAAGGCGTGCACCCTTTGGTATGTAACGAGAACAACATACCAAAGGCAAGGCACCCAGATCGGGTGAAATTGCTCTGCCAAGAAATCGAAACAACTTTTAGATCGGGGAGGAACGGAGGGGAGAAGGTTGTGTACGTAGCACTGGAAGAAGTTGGAGCGTGTATGAGTAACCGAGGAGCTGGAGACGAGTATTGTCTGGACATCGAAGTGGTTAAGCAGACAAGGACGAGATTTGAAGGATTGGTTTTGACACCATTGGACAGGAACCAAGGCGAGACATTTGTGATGTGCCCGTTTGTATACTACGAGGCCATGATGAGCGTGTTTGTCACAAATCCAGGTTACAAGGTCATGCAGCAGCGCGAGGACGAACTCAAGCAGAACGTGCAAGCGAGGTTCAATGACACAGGTCTGGCAAGTTTCGCCAGATACGATAAGAAGGGGACGTTTAGCTCAACATACATCCAGCCGAAACACAAGGATGTGGGGAGGTACCGTCCAATCTGCCCTTCTTATTCGGATCCAGCTACCAAGACTGGTAAATGCGTCGTGAAAGCGATGAACCACATGTTATTCAAGCTGCCCACTCATTGGCACTTCAATATGAGATCGGTTTCGGAAGTTACTCAGTGCGCGGGGACCATCAACAGGAGATGCGATAAGAAGGTTAACTCTAACGTCCAATTGGCAGTCAGGTCCTACGATATCAAGGACATGTTAAGCAAACTGCCACACCAGGACATTATGAGAGCGGTCAATTGGATCATTGACCACTATATTAGTAAAGGTCAGCAGACCATTCGAGTCAACACGCGAGGGAAAGGCTGCACGTTTGGTAAGACAACCGGAGCTGACCATTGGAGGGAGATGGATCTCGAGGATATCTGGAGCTTTGTGCAGATCGATTTGGAACACACTTATGTGTACGCCACATGAGTGCTTCTACAGCAGATCGTGGGTATTCCGATGGGCAAGAGCACCAGCCCACCGTTAGCGTGTATTTTGTGCGCGCACTCAGAATACAATTTTCTGAGTAACTTGGGCAGTTTGAGGAAGATAGTTCACAAGCTGCGTCTGATGGATGACGTCAGTCTCATCATCGATGTGGGAAGGATGAGGGATGGCGAGTCAGAGGAAAGGATATGAAAAGGCTTCGAAGTATGTTATCCTGATAACCTTACTTTGAAGAGGACAGACAAGGGGAAGGGGATCTGGGAGTTTCTGGGTCTGGAGATGCACACCAAGGGAGTACCGCCATACGTAGGTAGCATCGAGATATCGAAGAATGAGAAGTCTGTCTGGGACAGCGAGTTACTAAAATTCAAGAATGGGCAGAGCTACAAATCGTGGAGTAGCAAGCAGCAGAAGAGTGCGGCAGTGGCGGTTTACCTTCACCGCATTGACAGCAACACAACCATTCGGTCAGCAATACCTTGGCGTGTGCTCACGCTGAGCAGAGAGCTCAGATTGAAGGAATTCCCGGAGTAGTTGGTGCACAGAATGCTGAAGAGTTTCTGCACAGGGCGTGACGAGATCTGGACACTCACGCGTGACTGGATATGTGATACATAGTTAATTCTACCAGTGATTAGTCGCACGCTGATGGGTAAGTAGGACATACAGGCGTCACGAAGAGTTTATTTGTTTTTCATTTGTCATAAATGAGTGATAGTTTAATAGTTGTGTATGGTTAGCTAGTTATCGAGCTTAACCCGTTGGCACTCAATGTTTTGTGGGATATGGAATGGGGTAGGATACCAGACATTTGCTTTCTAATGTTGATTCTCAGGCTATTTTTCCGGAAGATATCTGATGTAGGATGTAATATGCATGACGTCGGACGTGGGAACCACGCAACCTGGATAGTAGGATAGCACGCACAACAATTGACGGCAGATACGTAGAGTACGACCTGTAGTCCAATGGTTTAAGCCGTTCTCGTAACTTTGGAACCGTTGTGATTTTTTCGCGATATTGTTGTCGAGGGTATTTGGATAAGGGCCTTTTCGGAGATGTGCTCTAACTGTTGCATAGGTGCGTCTTTCGGTAATGTGTGTTTTTCGATGCTTTGGTGGACCCATCGATGGTTAGCCTTTTGGTAGGCCTAGATAAGAGATGTTGACTTTTATTTTTTTCGAAGTGTGTAATGGCCAAGCACAGGTATTTGGTCGGTAAGGTGGATCGGGTAAATATTTTTCGGCTTTTTTCGGCTTTTTGTTTTTTCTAGGCGCACTCAATAAGGCCGACAGAAATGGACAGAGTAGGGTTCGGGTCATTGGTTTGGGATATAAGGAATCGTTGTGTTCTACGATACCTTTTTAGGTCTGACGTCGACACGACCCAGTTATAATGGCTGGAGGCGCGAAGACGGCGGCGGGTTAGCGAATGGTCGGAGTAGTTTTTGGAAGAAGAAGGTTATTCCCCCTGAGGAGACCGCATGGCCGCGGTCAAAACCGGTCGGGGTGCCATACCCACCAGGAACACAGTTTAGTGCATGAAGCATCAATAATGCTAATTGTACTCGAGTTTTTTGCAATGGACTTGTGTATTCTGTGTACTGTGTATATTGTGTATTCGAGTGTTATTGCATCAATCTCTCCAAATCACAATCACCTTTTCGGCACCGCCATCTTTGTCGATTTTTAATTATTTTTTGGCATTGACAAATGCCATGAAAATTTACGGATATGTAGTTTGTATAATCAATAACTCATTAAAAAGTTTTCAAAAAATAATAATTTGTTTTAGGCCCCGAATAAAGTGAAAACAAAAAGTTAAAAGTGAAAAAAAAAACAAGATAGTGAATGGGCGAGCACGTTTTAACACCCCCATCTCTGACGATTTTTAATGTTCTTTTTGACTCGCAGAATGGCTTCAAAATTTATAGGCATGTAGGTTATATCATAGAGAACTCACAAAAAAACATTCAGAAAAAACAAATGATTTTTAGGCCCCGAGTTTTTTTTTGGCGGGGGCCGAACCTAGAGGTGTTCGGCCCCCGAACGCCCGAACGTTGGGGGGCCAACCCGAGGGCCCCCAAACGTTCGGTCAGGTAACCCTGATTATTATTATTATTATTATTATTATTATTATTATTATTATTATTATTATTATTATTTTATTGTTACTATTACAATCAGAAATATGCATGTGAACACCGTGTCTAGCTAGAGCAATGGTCGACTTCGTGCACGCTGGCCTAGAGCAACTGTAAGTGCACACAAGATCACTTAGGCAGGAGGATACGAAGGATGGAATAAAAAGGTTGAGGGAAGAAAAGAAGAAAGGGAACAGAAAAAAGAATAAAGAAGGGAATAAGGAGAAAGGATGAGGAAAATGTGAAAGAGAATAAAGGCACAAAATAAGAAGACAGGCAAAATCATTTATCATTCTCATCTTATACACCCTTTTTTTTTACTCACTCTTTGCTGCTTTATAGATCGATTGATGTATGTATGTAGGATGGGTGATAGAATAAGGCTCCAGGGTGAGGAACATCCTATTACTCGCCTCTACGTGTATACATATCTTAGATTGTTAGGTTGATAGACTAAAAGTGGGGTACTTC